TTTTAGTGATTGCCATTCTAACTGGTGTGAGATGGTATCTCATTGTGGTTTTGATTTGCATTTCTCTGATGGCTAGTGATGATGAGCATTTTTTCATGTGTCTGTTGGCTGTATGAATGTCTTCTTTTGAGAAATGTCTGTTCATTTCCTTTGCCTACTTTGTGATGGGGTTGCAAAACAACTATTTATACACAAATACAATATTTGAATAATACAAGCTTAGTCTTGACTACTTCCTCCAGGCAGATTTTTCAAACCAGGAAATTACCAGCATTGTTTTTAACTGGTGGCACACTTGAGTAAGATTCAAGATGCTTAGAGGTCTTTAAAAAGCTTGTGTCCTTTAAAAAAACCTGCAGGACATATAAAGCTTGAAGACTAAAAAGGATATTGATTTGGTCCTCTCCCACCTTGCCCATCTACTTATTATTATAGATTTTTACACACTTGTTTTATTTACTCCATTAATTTTCTTTAGTTTTACCTGATCTTCTTGGGAGATATTTGAAGTTAAGAAAAAAGGAGGATGAATAACCCACATTTGACTGTCTTCTCCCCACTCCCCCGCTAATGCATGACCACTTGCAAAGCTCCCTCCTTAATCACACAGATCTTGGGGAATCCACAAGAGTTGTGACATTTTGTTGATAAACCAATCCAGTCATCTACTAATGGACATTGGCCATTTTCTTCTCATCCATGAACCTACTACTTGCTAATTATTGCTGCTATTTCTTCAGATGATACAGGCCACTCCTTGACCACCCATGTCTGCTTTTGCTGGATACAGATTCTGCTTTGTCTGGATACCACCACATTCACCATTCCTGCTTACTTTCTGCTGCACACCACTTCCTGCAGCCACTTCTCCATTCTTTTTTTTTTTTTTGAGATGGAGTCTCACTCTGTCGCCTAGACTGGAGTGCAGTGGCATGATCTTGACTCACTGCAACCTTTGCCCTCCCGGGTTCCAGAGATTCTCCTGCCTCAGCCTCCCAAGTAGCTGGGATTACAGGTGTGTGCCATCATGCCCAGCTAATATTTGTATTTTTAGTAGAGATTGGGTTTTGCCATGTTAGTCAGGCTGGTCTCAAACTCTTGGCCTCAAGTGATCCGTCTGCCTCGGCCTCCCAAAGTGCTGGGATTGTAGGTGTGAGCCACCGCGCCTGGCCAGCTTCCCCATCCTTATATGATAGGTCCCTTGTGGGGCCACAAAGGGGTCCTTTAGTAAGTAGGAGGAGAATGTCTCTCTCCTTCTTTCGTCCTGTGCTTTTTAATGGGAAACTAGAACAGTGTTGTTTGTACATCAGAGCATTTACAGAAATATCTTGTGTATTTTTCTCAGTCTTCCCACCACCATTGGACCTACATATGGATCGTGGGTGCTGAGCTGAAAGACAAGTCCAGGTCATAGACTCTATACTGTACTATGCTCAGGATTTCCCGTGTTCAAATGTAGAGAATTAATGGCTTGACTCTTGGCTTTGAAGCTCTTCACAGATCTCATTTTGCTTATTCTCCTTGAAACACTATAATTTTTGATTAATTTAGGACTTTCAAACTTAATGAAGATATGGGGAGTGGACCTATCAGTTTTTCAAGTAAAAGGTGTTTTTCTGCCTCTTAGAAATAGCCAGTGTAGATTATAATGAAAACTACACTACACTCTCCATTTCTGTTATCGGGAGAAAGTTTTGACAAATTATTACTAAATTGTAAACTGAAATACAGAATTTCAAGTGTTATCTTCTTTTGATGTGTAAGTAAAGGTGCAGTCTTTTGGTTTTATCTATAAAATTTTATCTGTATTTAATTTACATGATAAGACTTTTTATATAGCAACAAATAGCTAAACTTCAGCCTTGTCTTATGCAAGTTGTCATAAATTAGTATTACTGGTATCTGAATAAAAACTAAATTGAGGAATATAACTTATTTTTCTAGTATAGTATAGAAGTTGGTGACTTTTGATGCTGAATGTCAGAGGAAGTATACACCTGTTTTACCATCTCTTTTCTTTCTTACTTGCAATGGAATATTAACCCATTTGCATGTCCTAATTCAAATACCTTCTCTTGTATAGTAACTTCTCCACATCTGGATGTTTTTCCTTCATAAACCACCTATTGTACTTAGTAGTTATTTATTTCATACTGTGAGATTACCACATAAGGTCAGAGATCATATTTATTGTTTTATTTTTTTCCATACAAATTTGCATAGTGATAGATACACTGAGTAACAGCAAGCAGCAACTGCAGTGTTAAGGTAATTGAGTAAGTGTATCCTGAAAGCAGTCCTGATGTAGGTACTTTATTATACCCATTTTATAGCTGGGGACTCTTAGAAATAGAGAAGTTAGGTAATTTGTCCAAGTTAGCTACTAAGCTGAGAAATTAGAATAAGAAAACAGGCAGGCAGATTCTAGAATCCACACATTAAGCTAAATAGATGAAAAATAAATATTTAATTCATTAACTGATGTTTTAAAACAAACATTCCAGACCTCACATTTCCAAATGAAAAGGCTGCAGTTTACATATTCTAATACGGTAAGTATTTTAGTTAAGAAAAAAGCTTAACTGTAAGATGACAATTCTAAAATTAGCCTCATAAAACTAACTGAAAGCAATTCCAAAGAACACTGCATTGGAAAGATTTTCAGTAATAGTAGGCTCACTAGAGTCACTTCCAAAGTGACAACTCCAAAAGATAATACTCAGTTTAACTGAAAAATTAGTAACTAGCTTAATATCCCTTTTTCTCTACTGCTTGCTGATAATGAACTGCATTCTTTCTCTTAGTAATGCAGTCCACTAGCTTTCCAACTCCAAACTTGTATACAATGGCAGCCAGCATCTAGGCACAGCAGGGCAGATCTGGGGATTGAGGGATTCCTTATTTCATCTCTTACCTTTAAAGGCATTTAATGCATGGAAGAAAGTAAATTCAGATCAACCCAAAATTTACTATTGTAGCCTGTTTCCTCCTTACCCTTTCTAGCTTCACCTTTCTATCACTATCCACTGTGCACCTTAATCTACTTTCATCCTTGGGTCATGCCATCTCTTTTTTTTTTTTGAGATGGAATCTTTCTCTGTTGCCCAGGCTGGAGTGCAGTGGCGCGATCTCAGCTCACAGCAAGCTCCGCCTCCCAGGTTCTCACCATTCTCCTGCCTCAGCCTCCCCAGTAGCTGGAACTACAGGCGCCCGCCACCATGCCCGGCTAATTTTTTGTATTTTTAGTAGAGACGGAGTTTTGCCATGTTGACCAGGCTGGTCTTGATCTCCCAACCTCGTGATCCATCCACCTCGGCCTCCCAAAGTGCTGGGATTACAGGCATGAGCCACTGCACCCGACCGGGTCGTGCTATATATACTGTATATACTCCCTCCCATAACTCTGTCTACCCCAATACAGTGGAATACTGTGGTTGCAAACAGACTCTGGAGCTAGTCTGTGTAGATCCAAAGCCTTCACCACCTGCTTGCTATGTGACCACTCTGTGCCTCAGTTTCCTCATTATAGGAATACTGATGGTACTACCTCAAAGAGTAGCTATGAGGATTAAGAGAGTTAATACATGTAAAATGTTCAGAACAAGTAAGTGTTGTCTGTTGTTATCACCATCATTTTCTTCCTCATCTTTTTCTCCATCATCATCATCATCATCATCATCATCTGGTGAAATCCTATCCTTCTTTGAGGACCCACTAACATTTCACAACTTCTCTGAGCTTTCTCACAGCCCAGCTGTTCAGTCAGGATTGGGCCCCTCTTCTGTGCTGCCACATTTTTCACTCTGCTGTTTCAGTCCGTAGCATACTGTATCGCATTAGTTCAACATGCATCTGTTTCTTGATTGTAAGTGCATTGAGGTCACATAAATGTAAGGATGAAGGGCAGGCCAAGGAAGTTTGTACTATGTCTGAAATTATTTCGGATTATCAACCATATGGATACTATGGGAAATATTTTTAGTCACTCCTAATGTTAAAGAAGCTGAAGGATTTTTCCTCCATTAAAATGTCTTAAAATATTTTTCAAACTTCATCATTCAGAAGTTTACTGAAAAGAACATTTCTTTCATGATTCTATAAATAAAATGTCCATAGTTTAAATTATTGTATGTATTTCTAATATGTAGTGTAACATAAATACAGTGTAGTACTATATGTATTTCCAAGCAAACATTTGCAAGTTATATAAATTCCTTTCAAACATTTGTAAAATGTTGACCTTTATTCTAATGCAGACTAGCCTTCTCCCAATCAGTCTAAATCGATGAGGTAGTATTTGATTAAAAAGAAAAGTATTCATAGTGTCCATCCCTAGCCCCTGCTAGGGGGAATACAAGATGTATATTATTACCATCTTGTTTTTTCAAAAAAAAAAACCCCACAGAATAAAATATCTGGATCCATCATGACATACAGATTAACATACTAAGCTGAATGCTAATGTGGTTTCAGAGTTTACTTTTAAGTAATTATGTTTCTTATAATAGTAACTATATACCATTTACCTTGCAAATTTCACTTTAATTAGCCTGTTTGTATGTAGGATATTGTAAATATTTGCTTTATATACCAAAGATGCACCACAAAATGTGCTCGTACTTAATAACTACTAACAGATGTTTCCTTTCCTTAAAAATAAAACTTAAAAAAAATGCTTAAATACTAAATAATTCTAAATATACTCAGAGCCTTAACCAAACATATGCTATTGAAAACCTAAATACTATATATATTCTTCTTACCACATTTCTCAATGTGATGACATACTAAATCCAGGAAAAGGAGTGTATTTTTCCTCTTTCTAGAGTTTATTTCTGGATGGTTAACCAAGGATACACTAGAGCATGTTTATTCTAATGGACCATATTTCAAATAACAGTTGTGGCGAATGATTCTTTTTACTATTTTTAAGGTATCTTGGTTTTATTGGCAATAGAAGATAATTAATTGGCACTTCTTTTTAATTATTTTTTAAACAGGACAGAGATTCCTTCTGCCATCAGATGTCTTTCTGCTTGACTGAACTGCACCTGTGGTCTTTGAAGAATACCTTACACATTGCGGGTAAATGAGCTCTGGATTAATTTCAATATTTTTCAAATATGTTACACCGTTATAAATAAGTACTAGCAAAGGTTAGAGTCTGAATTCTCCAGCTGGAGTTGCATTCTTTCTTTATTCTTAATGAAAAACTGGTTAATGGAAAATAATTCCTTTTAATTACTCTAACTTAATATTTATAGCTTGAGTTAGGTTTTCAGTTTTGAAAATTAATCTTATTGGCTTAATGTTTGTTCTCTATTAAGATACACACATGTTCAATTTTTTTTCTGGGATTCTTCATAATAACATTTATATTCATAAATATGTACAGGATAGCTAATGGTAAAGGCATTTCTAATTGATATTAAAATAACATTTCAAACTTATAGCTAAGATGTACAATTATTTTCATGTTCTTTGTTTTTCACATTTTTAGGGGGGAGAATAATATGTGTATTTTAATAATGCTTATTAACATAGGATGTAGTATACTTTATAAGAAATATCTTTTAAAAAATCATTAATTATACAAAGTAACACTTGTATTTAGGAGAAGAATATTATTTATATCACTTAAGCATCATTATTAAGAAAATGGTTTACCTTACAAAGTATTGTTTCTTCATATCAAATATAGAATTAAGGATGATTGTGATATTTTCATCAAGTTTATCTGCTTTAAAATGTAAATAGATTGAAATTTCAGTTAAAGTAGATTTAACATTCGTTTGCTTCCTCCTAAAACTCTTCTAAAATGCCAATAAAAGAATAAAAATAAAGAAAGCATAAACCCTTTCGAGAGAGGGGACAACTGAAATTGGACAAATTTTGGAAGATAGGAGGGAAAGAGGAATTAGCAGAGCTGTAAAACCTGAATATAAATTGCCTGCAGAGGAGAGTTCCGGTGACAGCCAATTTATGACTCAAAATTCTGGAAAGATACAGAAATTTGAGGAGCCAGATATTGTAGAAGATGGTATGTATCATGAGAGCGACAGTAAAGGGACGTGAAAGTTTGCAGAAGAACTTGTGAGATACCTTTCATGCTGTGGAAATATTTAATTAAGGAGGCTCTAAAGTTGGGAACACCAGGGGCAGTGGAAGACCTGCTGAACAGAAAACAGGCATGAAATGGAAGGAAGCCTACATACTTATGGGTGAGGTCTTCTTAATCCCACTTGGTTCTGAGAATGTCGTACCTATTTGTATACTTTCCAAGAAAGAAGGGGCTTGAGGTATTCCTCTCTGGAATGACTGAATGACCCTAGAAAGAAGACCTTTGTACATAGATGTTTGAGGGAATTCTTTGGTGAAATACCCTGGTCCTTGCCTGATCAGTGAAGCTCACCAGTTGGCAAGCTCTATTTGTCTACACAGGGCTTCCAATCAGTTTTTTAGTGCCTCACTTGTAAATACAAACAGAGAACTAAGGATCACCAGATATTTGAGGAATATCTTCAACAGGAAATAAAACAAAATGAATAGGTGAATGGATCTCTGAAGAAACAGAGATAATGTAGGAAGGGGGGAAAAAGGTACAACAGAGACCTAAGGAAAAATACTAAATCCATGAAGCAAGACACAAAAACAGAAGCTTCAGAAAACATTTGAAATTATACAAATCTCTTGGAAATTAAAAATACGTTGCAGAAAAAATTCAAAATTCAAAAGTGTAAAGAAATCTCAGAAAATAGAAAAAAGAAATCCCAAAGTGAACTTATTTTACTGCTGGTGGAAATCTTTAATTGAAATGTTTTCTTTTCTAATCATAATTCCCCATTTTTCATCTTTTTCCCTTATTCTCATATATCTAGGTTTTATGCTTCTTCAAGATGGTCAATCTTTTAATTGCTTGACATTCTCCTAGTCCATTGGGACTTCTTCACTTATCTTCCTACCCATCTTGGACCCCATAGTTGGAAGTCTGAGCTATTCCATCTTGATCCCCTTTTACCCCTCGTCTTCTGTTCATGCCCAGCAAATGCCTTCCCTACCCCTCCGTGTGTCCTCAGGTTTTCTGTCCCTGTTCCTTCTATTCTGAGTCAGTGAATGGTTTTTAGAGAAGAATCACACAGTGGTGCACAGTAGCCCCATGGGAATAGTCTTCAACCCCAACTGCATTTTTGCAGGGCCTACCCATTCTCTCTATTGGGACATTCTTCTGTTTAACCTTTTGTGAATCCTACTTCTTTAGGGCTCAGCTTTGTTAAGTCATTTAGAGAAGCCTTTCCTGCTATCTAGACTAAATTAGTAACCCTGTTAATGTGCTGTCATTATGCTCGATGTTTATTTTTAAAATGTTTGAAATAATCACAAACTTACAGAAAAATTGTCAGTACAGAGAATGTTTTTTCTTGAACCATTTGAGAGTTGTAGCCTGATGCTTTATCACCCCAAATACATTCATGTATATGTCCTACAAAAAGGATTTTGTCCTGCATTACTGTATAGCCATTGAAATCAGGAAATTAATAATGATGTACTTCAGTCTAAATGGACCAGTTCACCAATTGTCCCATCATTGTTCTTTTTTTAGGAAAAGGATTTTGTTACAGTGACACATTGCATTGTTACTGTGTTTCTTTAGTATCCTTCATTCTGGGTTATCCTTCATCCTTCTTCTCTCTTTTTTTTTTTAAACTTTCATGACCTTAACATTTTTGAAGATATTAGGCCAGTTATTGTGTAGGATGATCCTAAATTTGGTTGTATTTGAAATTTCCTCACAATTAGATTTAGGTTATACATTTCAGTGCATCCTATCAGGTGGTGCATAATTTCAGTTTGTCCCTTTCCTGACGATATTCATGATTACCTGATAAGATAGTGTCTGCAAGGCTTCTCCACTGCGAAGTTACTTTTTTCTTTGTGATAAGTATTTCATAGGGAAGTACCTTGAAACTATGTAAATATTCTGTTCCTCATCACACTTTAAATATATTATTATATATGATCAATTTATTTTATCTCTGTGGATTCAAGTTTTCCACTTTATGCAGTTGTAATAATATAGTCATATCATTATTTTATTTTATTTCATTATTTATTTTGATGTTTAAATTGTCCCTGATGTGGCCAGAGGGACCCTCTTCAGGCTGGCTTCTGTGTCTTTTTGACATGTCCCTGTCAAAATTGGAGCACTTTAATTCTTTCTGGTACAACAAATGTTCCAGACTCATGTTGTAATTTCCTCTTCCTAGCCTAGGAATCAGTCACTTCTCTAAGGAGCTTTATTCCTTTTAGAGGGTAAGGGTGTCTAGAAGCCAAGTTCTGCTTTAGGTGCACTCATTATTGGAGTATTGCTGCTCCCAGGCCCTCTTAGTGGACAGAGCTTGCAGAATGTATGTGTGTATGTATACACACATATTTACATCCACACTTATTTCTATATCTATCTATCTCTCTATATTGAAACCATGAGTTCACACTGGTACATCTCATTCCTATCTACCACCATAGGGTTCATTCTAATTTTCTCCCTTTCCATATTTGTATTTTTCTTCTCAGACAATGGGAAACCTGGAGCTCCCCTATTTTTTATTTATTTACTTAATCAGTCACACTGTTTGCAGTCAATCCACTATCTCTGTGGCTGCTCCCTCCCCTGTGTGGATACCCTTCTCACCCCATGTGGATTTGATATACCATGTTGGGCTGCCCCTATATGTAAATGTTCTCCTTACCTTGTTTAGCCTCTAATACCCACACCAGGCCGTTGCTTCATGAGAATGTTCTTACCCTGCTGGAGTTCCAACACACCGTGTCAGGCTGACTCTCTGAATGGACACCTTCCTCATCCAGCTCTGGCACCCATTGTAGGGCAGGTTTTCTTAACTGGATGCTCTCCTTATTCTGCTTGCGTTTTGACAATCCCACTCTGGGCCAGATGCAGTAGGTCAGACTTGTGCAAATAATTCAGGATTCTTTATGATCTTCATAGTTCTATTCTAGAACTTGTGGCATATATTTGGATGTATGGAATGATGGGTATAATTATAGGGTGGAATATTTTAATAGAGATATTGTCTGCATATGTAGTGCCTATGGTTCTTAGATTTTAAAATAGCCTTTTTATTGAAGTATAATGTATGTACTGAAAAGTGTAAAGATCATAAGATTATGTTGTGAACCATCAGAATGTGAAAACACCCATAAAATCACCATCCAGGATATTTTAACAACAATTAAAATATCAGTATCCAAGAAGTCCTACTCATGATTTTTCACAATAAATCCTTATTAGATATATTCAGTCTAACCAGTAGACATAAACTGCATTCTTTAAAATTGTATGCCTCTACTAATGGCATGATGAATAAAATAGAGCTTTAACAAGTACACGCAATTGACTATTTTGAAAGACTATATTTGAAAAGTTAATTATAGCAGTAATACTTTTTTTTGAAGTTTTATCATTCAGTTTCAGAAAGTCTGGAGCAGTCAGTCACTAGGGGGCAGCCTGTACTGCTTCCACCTATACTCTTTATCCTTATGTTAGTAACTGAGAATTATTTTGTATGGAAGAAAACAAATGTTCCTTCAATGAAAGAAATATTTTATTATTCATAGATATGAAGAAAATGGACAAAATTATTTTGTTATCTTATATTTAAATTGGAATAATCCCTTGGTTAAATGAATCTTGACATCTGGGAAGCCCAACTTTGCTTCTTAGGTAGCCCCAGCAAAGTGTCTGAATTTAGGTTTAGAAGGGGTTTTCCCTGCCTAAACAAGTTTCAGATAATAATTTATCCAAACCTTCCTCTAATCTTCCCTTTCTCTTCTGCGGATTTCTCCCAAATGCCATAGGATAAGAACTAGACTCTTGAGCTAAATTGGAGAAAAGAAAACCACAGCTCAGAATCCAACAGGGCATTTTCTTCCATCCACTGATTTCATTTGGCATTGCTTAGTGGCAGTTCCTTTTGGTAGCGCCCTGTGAAAAATATCAGAGGATGTGTGAAAGAGAAAACTTGGTCTTTCTTGATTTCAGTTCTTTACTAATCTTTTTCTCATGCCATTCTAGTTTTGTGTAAATCTTTTCTCATTAGATTGATAAACTTTCCAGTTTCTGCATATCCCTAGAATACATGAACTCATCTCCAGATGCTTTTGAGCCATTTTATTTCTAGTAACATAAGGAGACTGTTTCTGCTTTTCTCCCTACCCTTCCCCTAATATAGTATGGCTTGGCTTCTTATTCTCGGGGACTTTTTAATCATAATTTAATGTTATTTCTTCCTTTCTATAGATAGAAACATTGGGATTTACCAGTATTATGACAAGAAAGATCCACCAGGTAAAGTACCTATTCTGTGCAATTAATTTTTATTAACTAAATATTCTAAACCATGAAATACTGACCATTAAAAACGCTCTTCTTATGAGCTTTAGATAAATTCTAGAATTTTAAGAAAAGTCCCTTCAATTCTTTAGAAAAATGCTGAGGTTGATATCTATCTGTTCTATATAAAATAAAGTAGTATCGAAAAAATGCTGTAGAAGGACATGAAAATTTTCATTTTCCTGCTGATCAGGCTGATAACAGGGCAGTCTATTCACGTTTATTTATCAGTGTCCCAGTAGAGGGCATTGTTAATGCATGGGTCCTACTGATACTGGCCTCCTGGATCCTCACCTGATATCTGAAATAGGCATTTCTGAGTGAATGATCAATTTTCTTTATCTGATTAATCCTGTTAATCCCAGAAGTTGTATGATGGGCCAAAAGGTCTTTCTAGCTAGAGTTACTTCCTGTTTTGGTCTCCGTTGAAGTGGGCTTGTGTGAGCATCCTGTGTGCTTAGCTTAGTGGTTAATAGGCTGACTTCATGGTTCTGATGACAGACTGAAGCAGCTTCTGTTCTGGGCTCTGTTGCAGTTCTCTTTCCTATCTGATGAGATTGGAAGCTCAGGATATTGGTCCAGCTGTTGTGCCCTTTCACTGCAAATTTAGGAAATATCTCTATGAAATGAAAACATCCAAATTATGGCCTTTTTTTCAACTGTCTTTTTAGAATCTAAGCATAATTTATTAATCTCAATAATGCATGTAATGTTAATAATACATTATACGTGTACATATTAAAATGTAAGGCATTATAATAAAAATAAATTCACTTTTGTTTTTTTCTTTCTGTCTCTTCTGCTACAATGTCAGCGACAGAACATGGTAACTTAGAAGAAAAGCAGAAGCTGGCAGAGTGTAAGCTTACTTTATATTTTTTGGAATTATTATAAAACTGGAAAGTTCAGTATTATAAAATATTCATCTGGAACAAAGAGGAAACATTATTCCCTCCAAATTTCTTAAATTCCCATTACTTAGAAATATAAACATATGAGTAACAATTGTATTTGTTAGGCCTTTCTAATTTAGACCATTGAAATCTCTATTCAGTTTTGATAAAATGTATGTTTATATAAACATAAACTTTCATAATGAACTATATGTTAGTATATTTAAGATAATTATACCAAGCTTAAATTCTGATAGTAACATTTAATTATTCATACTTTGCCTAAATTGTTAACATGCCTTACCCATTTTTAAAAAATAATATTTGTAATATCAGTATTAGCATTTTATTCACTCTAGTCTTTTCTGATCTCCAGTATATGTTATATATATTATGGCGACAATGTAATATGGTTTTAATGACATAAATTAAATATACATTAAGATTTTTTTGGATTATAGCTAGAGCTGAAAATCCCATTTGTTCTCTTGTTTTTTAAATGGTTGAACTGACATTTAATTTAAAAAATAATGTATTAGTAGCTGCAACACAGATTTAAAAATTTGCACATACGTTCTACATCAAAATTGTTTAGAGACCCAAATTCATTTGCTGAAATAAGATATATAGCAAGTCTACTCTCAAATTTAAGTATCTATGTATACTCCATATGTATATGTACATGCAACACACACATAAGCACAAATACACATGTACCTCTTGTTTGGAATTATTAATGAGGAGAATCCAAAGATGAATTCATTTTTCTGATAAAATAGATATGAGTTTAACATTTTTAAATTATTTTAAGCAGAACTATTTTTAATTTATTTTAGGCTAACATGATGACTCTACTAAATAATTTTATCTTTCAATTAAATTTATTTAAAGCAAAACAAAGGCTTATCATTATTCAGTTGTGGTGTATACTTTAAAGAGAACTGTTTTAAATTAAAAAGAGCACTATTAAGGCCTAATTTGTTAAAACTTGGATTTCCCTCAGATTTTTCCATAGTTTTAAAATGTGGAGCTTTAATGCCTAACTTCATATATTTTTATGTACAGTTTTATTTTTTATTTCTTTCCATTTTATTTTATTTCTTTGCTCATTATATTCATTTACTCATGATAATTTTTTTTTTTTTTTTTTTTTTTTTTAGGTCTGAGTAGGTTACTTGTAGAATTTAGAATTTCTTTTGGATTCAACATTTAATTATTTACATGAAAAAGTTAGCAAAGAGTACATCATTTACCATGAATTACTTGATTCACAAGCCTAGCAAACTTTCCCTGGGATTCTCCAAGCCTTGTTGGTTGTCATCGTAAAATTATGATTAGGGAGATTGTTTTGTGGTAAAAATCCTGTTCCTATAACAAAGCCTTTCAAAAGGCTGTCATTTGATGATGGAAATGAAGCCCACTTCCTCTCAATTATAGAGGTGTTTTATTTTAATCTTCCTAAGGCACACTGCTAAGCAGAATTTCCTTTTAAAATCTTGTTTAACTAACTGTAGTACATGTTTTATTTGCCAGCACGAGATTATCCTTGGACGCTCAAAAACAGACGCCCAGAAAAACTCCGAGACTCACTCAAAGAGTTGGAGGTATCTTTCAAAAAGTTTCAAAAATGGCAACAAACAAATCTGTTTTTAAAACATCTTTCAACAGCTTTAATTTTCATAAAGGATCAACTCTCATGGTGATGATAGCTTTGCTTTTGTCCAGTGATGAGTTCCAAAACAGTTGCATCTTTGTGTGGCATGTTGATCTTTTTTTGCTTGCAAATCAGAGGCACTTTAACTGATAATGACAATGTGTATAGCCAACTATGCTCTCTCTTTTTCTGTTGTACTTCAGGAGCTGATGCAAAACAGTCACTGTGTGCTGAGCAAATGGAAGAACAAACATGTCTGTCAGGTAAAATGGTTTGACAAGCCTTTGCAGTGTTTAACCAATGGAGCTGAAAACTATGTAGTAATTGGTATTCTTGTGTTATGTTAGGTAATGGACAGAAACTTTTTTAGCAGTGGTTATTTCATAGTTTGAGTTCTACTTGTTCTAGAGCTAACATTAGACAGATTGACACAGGCCACCAGGCTCATTAATCAGTATTAATCAGTATAGTTGTACTGACATACAAACACTAATAAAAATCTTTTCATATTGTATTTTTTTGTTTGAAGTTGTCTGAATGCTGTAGTAGATGTTTGCTGGCATAGATTTAATAATATTTTTGAGTGAAGATGAAACCACAGGGCAAAAGACTTTTTGGCATACTATTCTTATAAGCATTTGTGAATATCATTGCTTATGCAGATCAACAAGCCAACTACACACAGTTAGACCTATGATAACAAGACATTTGGTCCTACTTTTTGAACCCTCTAAGCTGTGATGTTTACTATGGTAGCCACTAGTCATATGTGACTGAATAACTAAATAAAATAAAAAAATTAGTTCTTCAGTTGCACTACCCACATTTAAGTGTTCAATAGCCACATGTTATCATATTGGACAGTACAGATACAGAACATTTCCATCTCAGACAGTTCTATTGGACAGTAGTGTTAAGGCCTGGACAAATGATCTAAGTATTGAATGGGTAGATTCAAGACATAATAATTAGTGTACACTGATTACAAGATAATGACAAATGCTTTAGCTTTTCTGATAGGCTTAAAAAGTACTATATGTCTAGAAAAATTTAATATACTTGTGATAAAAAGAATAATTATTAGTCATCTGTGGAATTGAAGTTGCATTAGTTCGAATAATAATTGTAACTGATATATTGAATCAAATATTCCTATATTAATTTAAATTATTTTTTACAATGTGATTTATTTTGTGTAATCATTCTTGTTTGTAGTTTAGGCCCATAGTTCTATTCATAAAGCTACAACATCAAATTTGTAGCAATTATAAACAGATCTTAATCTACTACTTGAATATATACTATCATTTTTGTGGATTCTAGTTTTTCCTCGTTTTTTGTCTAAACTAGTCTACCTTTACTCATGGAGGCAACTAGTTACCTTCTCAACTGGCATAAATTTTTATTTTTCAGAGATCTTTTACAAGGGTGAATTAGCATTTTTAGAATCATAGTACTTCTTATATTGCCTTAGGTTACTATTTAAAAGGATGGAATTTAAAAAAATTATAGCTTATTTGCATAATAGTACATTTCAATCAGATTTTAAAACTTGAATGCAAAATACACTCTAGAAAGTTTCAAACTTAGTACAACTCAAACTTGTAGTTTTTAATGCCATTACTCACGTTAAAAACAGGCTCAGAATTATTTGACTGGAGGGCAAGCCTGCCACCTATAGGAAGAGGCATGTCTCATGGCCTCCACCCTTACCCATCACACAGGGTAAATTGCAACATGTTGGGCATCTTAAAATATGCAGTGGAGCATCCCAATAGACAATCCTTTTTAGATAGAGTTTAATGAATTTTAATTTAATAGTAATTTTGTGTGTGTGTCTGATGAAGGGATGTCTGGAGAAGAATGTCCCTCACTATTATATTAATTCAACTCAGAAAGGGAGTTTTCATGATAAAATATATGTAAAATTACTTTTGTAATTTACAGTAATCTAATTGGTTAATTAGGCTGGTGTACTAATGAGTCTGCTTTTTTTTTTTGAGATGGAGTCTTGCTCTGTCACCCAGGCTGGAGTGCAATGGCGCGATCTCTGCTCACTGCAACCTCCACCTCCTGGGTTGAAGCAATTCTCATGCCTCAGCCTCCCAAGTAGCTGGGATCACAAGTGTGCGTCACCATGCCTGGCTAATTTGTATTTTCAGTAGAGACGGAGTTTCACCTTGTTGGTCAGGCTGGTCTCGAACTCCTGACCTCGTGATCTGCCCACTTTGGCCTCCCAAAGGGCTGGGATTACAGGTGTGAGCCACCGTGCCCGGCCCGAGTCTGCTTTTAACATTTCTAACAGGACTTATCTTTTTTGGTTGTTCTATTATATTCTGTGCTTCATTTCTATGATTATAAAGATATTTCTAAAACAGACCTTATACTCTCAGCACATGCTTGATGTGATATATTTTCACAAGATAACTTCACCTCCACACGGCCCACAGGTCTAGGTTAGTCTTCACATATTTAAAGTCTTTGAGAGACCTCCTAACATTATCCATTTACTTCTTCAGTTTCTAGTTAGGACTGTTAGCTAGTTCTTCTAAAAATCTATGTGTGTTCTATTTCAAAAGATCTCTGTTATAACAATAAATTAAAATGTTGATGTTTAAGCTACATTAGTAGCATAAGGAAATGACCTCCTTAGCCCTTTCAGTTAATTTTTTGTTAAATTTTTCTTAGTTATAAAGTAAGTAAACCACTTCAATAGGCTCCCCAAGGGACCTCCTTTTGTGCACATATCCAGTATGGTGGTTCCAGAGATAACATGTCAGCTGACCGCAACATAATGCTCTATAACTCTTAGAAAAGGAGTGAAAAAGTTCATCAACATCTTCATGCTAACACATTTGGACTCTCAGTCTTTTAATTTGGCTACTCTTCTGCTAATGTACATTATTTCCTCCCAAGAAATGGTAAATTTAGGATTTGCGAATTTATTTTAGTTGTCATCCCTTACTGCTTTAAAAAGTGCAATTGTTTAAAAATGAGCCAGGCAACCACAGCAACATAAGATTTCAGAGGATGCAATCTGAGGTTGGATCTTTCTATGTGTCAAACAATGAGGATTTGTAAGTTTTCATCATTTACTGAAGCTTAGTTGATGTTGTCAGTCCAATGATCTGCACATTGTACCATTTAAAAACTAATTCCCCCCACCTATAAATTCAGAATAATTTTCTTTCTTACTTTGGAGGATAGTAGTTTATTTTATTTTTCAGGATCTTTACTTATTTTTTCTCCTGTTTTTATTTTTTAATTTTATTTTTGTTTTTTATTTCCATAGGTTTTTGGGGGAACAGGTGGTGGTTGGTTACATGAATAAGTTCTTTAGTGGTGATATTCTGAGATTTTGGTGGACTCATCACCTAAGCAGTATTCACTGTATCCTATTTGTAGTCTTTTACCCCTCACCCACCTCCCACCCTTTCCTCGGAGTCCCCAAAGTCCATTGTATCATTCTTATGCCTTTGCATCCTCACAGCAAACTCCCACTTATGAGTGAGAACATACAGTGTCTGGTTTTCCATTCCTGAGTTACTTCACTTAGAGTAATGGTCTGCAATTCCATCCAAATTGCTGTGAATGCCATTATTTCATTCCTTTTTTTATGGCTGAGTAGTGTTCCATGGTATATATTTACCACAGTTTCTTTATTCACTTGTTGATTGATGGGCATTTGGGCTGGTTCCATATTTTTGCCATTGCGAACTGTGCTGCTGCAAACATGCATGGGCAAGTATTTTTTTTCGTATAATGACTTCTTTTCATCTGGGTAGATACCCAGTAGTGGGATTGCTGGATCAGTTCTACTTTTAGTTATTTAAGGAATCTCCACACTGCTTTCCACGGTAGTTATACTAGTTTACATTCTCACCAGCAGTGTAAAAGTGTTTCCTTTTCACCACATCCCTGTCAAATCTATTATTTTTAAAATTTTTTGATTATGGCCATTCTTGCAGGAGTAAGGTGGTATCACATTGTGGTTTTGATTTGCATTTCCCTGATCATTAGGGATGTTGAGCATTTTTCCATGTTTGTTGGCCATTTGTATATCTTCTTTTGAAAATTGTCCCTTCATGTCCTTAGCCCACTTTTTTATGGGATTGTTTGTTTTTTTCTTACTGATTTGTTTGAGTTCATTGTTGATTCTGGATATTAGTCCTTTGTCACATGTATAGATTGTAAAGATTTTCTCTCACTCTGTGGGTTGTCTGTTTACTCTGCTGACTATTCCTTTTGCTGTGCAAAAGCTCTTTAGTTTAATTAGGTCCCAGCTATTTATCTGTTTTTATTGCATTTGCTTTTGGGTTCTTGGTCATGAAATCCTTGCCTAAGCCAGTGTCTAGAGGGGTTTTTCCAATGTTGTCTTCTAGAATTTTTATAGTTTCAGATCTTAGGTATAAGTCCTTAATCCATCTTAAGTTGATTTTTGTATAAGGTGAGATATGAGGATCCAGTTTCATTCTACATGTGGCTTGCCAATTATCCCAGTACCATTTGTTGAATAGGGTGTCCTTTCCCCACTGTATGTTTTTGTTTGCTTTGTCAGAGATCAGTGGGCTGTAAGTATTTGGGTTTATTTCTAGGCTCTCTATTCTGTTGCATTGGCCTATGTGCCTATTTTTATACCAGCACTCTGCTGTTTTGGTAACTATGGCCTTGTACTGTAGTTTGAAGTTGGGAAATGTGATGCCCCCAGATTTGTTCTTTTTGCTTAGTCTTGCTTTGGCTATGTGGGCTCTTTCTTGGTTCCATATGAATTTTAGGATTGTTTTTTCTAGTTCTATGAAGAATGATGGTGGTATTTGATGGGAATTACATTGAATTTGTAGACTGCTTTTGGCAGTATGGCCATTTTCACAATATTGATTCTACTCATCCATAAGCATAGGATGTGTTTCCATTTGTTTGTGTAATCTGTGATTTCTTTAAGCAGTGTTTTGTAGTTTTCCTTGTAGAGATCTGTCACCTCCTTGGTTAGGTATATTTCTAAGTATTTTTTTTTCTTTTGCAGCTATTGTAAAAGGGGTTGAGTTCTTGATTTTATTTTCAGCTTGGTAGCTGTTAGGCTACTGATAATGGCAGGGCTACTGATTTGTGTACATTAATTTTGTATCCTGAAGCTTTGCTGAATTAGTTTATCAGTTCTAGGAGCTTTTTGGAGGAGCCTTAAGGTTTTCAAGGTAAACGATTGTATCGTCAGCAAACAGTGACACCTTGACTTCCTCTTTACCCATTTGGATGCCCTTGATGT